GGCCACTGTATTCCAGCCTGGGTGACAGTATAAGACCTTGTCTCTAAAATAATAATAATAATAATAATGATAAGGTTATTTGGCCTATATTTTTATGACTGCTCATATCCATATTTTTAATGCACTCAACGTGTTTTTATTGATGGAATGGCCTCCAGTTATTAAAAATATGCATATGAGCAGTAATATAGACACAGTGCAAATAACTTCAACTTTTTTTTTTTTTGAGAAAGTGTCTCACTCTTGCCCAGCTAGAGTGCAGTGGCACAATCATAGGTCACTGCCGTCTTGAACTCCTGGGCTTAAGCGATTCTCTCATCTCAGCCTGCCATGTAGCCAGATCCTCCAAGTAGCCCAGCTAATTTTTTAACACTTTGTAAGGACAGTCTTGCTATGCTGCCCAGTGGGTCTCAAATTCTTGGCCTCAAGTGATCTTCCCACTTTGGCCTCTGAAAGTACTGGGATTACAGGCGTAAGCCACGGCACCTGGCCTAATCAACTATTTTTGTACAAAGGACAGTTTGGGGTTTGTTGCTAATAGTTGGTCACTTTAACTGCATCAATAAGAACATAGGTATTGCCAGGCATGGTGGCTCACACCTGTAATCCAAGTACTTTGGAAACCAAGTCGGGCAGATCACCTGAGGTTGGGAGTTCAAGACCAGCCCAACCAACATGGTGAAACCCTGTCTTTAAAAAACAAACAAACAACAACAACAAAAAAACCATAGGTATTAATTAAACATATTAAACTTCTCTAGGACACTAGTAAGGTATGCTCTTTGGGGTACATCTCAATTCTTTTGAATCTCGTCACTGATAGTGATTCTGGGTTTACATTATACTTCTTTTTGTGGTATTCAAAATATGAAGTTGGAAGGCCACAACAGCTTCCAACTCTTCTCACTTCTATCTCTTTCGGAGAATTTAAATCACACCACCAGTTCCACACTAAAATACACGTTGAATTCCATTCTATTAGACATTTTATGGATGCCGTTACATTATCCTAGACACCAAGTTTAAACAGAGATTAAAGGGAAGACTCTGCTTTAGAAGAACTGACACTCCAGGTCCAGAGAGGGAGAAACAAATAATCACAACATGATATATGGCTCAGTCTGTAGTATTAAATGGAGAGGGCCTTATTCTACCTTGTTTTCAACAACACCTTTCTATGGCACATCTGATCCTCTGTCATTACCTGTGACAATTTTCCAGCCCTTTCCTTTTTTTTTTTTTTTTTTCCTTCCCTGATCAGCTTGGGATTACAAGGTCAATACAGTAATTTTAGCACTTTTACCTGCATCCTCAATACTCTTGGCCCATTATTGCTCTGCTCCTCTTGGTCAATTTATCCCTGATTTTGGATTAATCCAATCTATCTGCTTTCTGCTCCCAGGGAGATAAGCACTACAGAGTACTGAAGAAATATATTATCTTTGTTAAAATTGGTGGTTTTCAGCCTCAGCTGATAACTTTATCAATGCTAGACAAATTTATAACCTGTCCATGGTCGGCTCCATTTTCCTCCAACTCCGCAGTGTCTGATGAAAAAGCCCTATCATATTTCCTAAATTCCTCATCTTATTCTCTCCTGAAGATCACTTGTCTGTTACTTTGCAGTCATCATCAGACACTAACTTCTTCAATTTTCATGTTGACCAATGGACTACATTAAATCCAAGGCATTTTCCAGTCCCAAGCAACTATTTGCTTGGTTCTCATCCTTCTTTTTCTCGGCTCATTTCAATTCCAGGCATTGTTAGTTTCTACTTTGTTGAATTTGACAACAGATTTCTGTGGGCTGATTTTAGTCACTTAGCACAAATTATTCTCTAGGATTTGAATAAACCTGAAATGTCCTAATCCTGAAAGGCCACAGGGTTCAACTCTTGGACTTTCTTCTCTATTGGTGATCTCATCTCATCTATGGCTTTAAATATGCCTTACATATGTTGATAACTCCTAATTTTATTTCTTTAGCTCAGACCTCTCCTCTGAACTGTGGACTTCTATATCTAACTGCCTACTCAAAGATCCCAATTTGAGTATCATGTGCCATCTTAAACAAGTTCAAAATTAAGCCTACAAGAGAACATTTTTGGCAGTGATGGATATAGTCATTCTCTTGATTAGGTTAATGCTTTTATGAGTGTGTACCTATGAAAAAAAACTCATCAAATTGTATACTTTTAAAATGTACACATTTTTGTACATCACTATATTCACTACAGAAGGCAAGGACGAAACAGTTTCCTGATCTCAATAAAGTGATGCACATTTGTAAATATCATCTTCAAATGATAAACTTTTTGCATATTCTGAAATGCCTTTTCCATTATTCCATTGCTCTTTTGAAGAGAACGATAATGAGTGAAGTAACTGACAAGAACAATGAAGTTCTCAAATAGGTTAGATTGAACTGTAATTGATTTGCAATTCTCTAGTTACTAAACCCTTGTAACTCTGATAAACTCAGCTACATTGCATGCTGAGACCTCAGCAGTGGACTAGCAGTATAGGGAGAAGACCAAGACTCATGAGAGTAAGAGTCTGGTTCTCATACTGAAAAGGTATCCTCTTCTGCCCCAACATGGTCTCTGTGTACATACAGGGTGGAGGGAGTAAGACCAGGGCAGTGGCAACATTCAGTCAGACAGCTAGGTCATATATACTAATATATACTTATAAGTACTATGTTGTTTGGATCCAGAACCAAGTTTTTGGGAAGATGGGAATGAGGGGCCCACTCCCAGGGAAGGACTAGCAAAAGATAAGCAGGTTATTCTAGCATGCTGAGATTCAAACAAAGGCTCTAATCCCAACTGGGGAACTGATAAAAAAAATCATGAAAACGGCTAAAAGCTCTTTCATGGACAGTGGCCTGAGTGCTGACGTGTTCCTCAGTTCACAGGACACAGTTCAATGGCGAGCCAAGAGTGGATATTGGGTTTCTGGCAATAGAACTAATTTTAGAAAGCACCAAATGGTAGGTTTGAGCTTACTATATTTTAAGATTACCTGGAAGCCTGGTATAAGGCAGATGATAAATTCCTGTTGGCTAAAGTCAGACACATGTAAATTATCTTTTAACTTCTGAAACTAATCAAAGCACACATATCCCAGTCTAGTAAGTATAGTCAAACTGTTTAGGTCCTTTTTTTTTGAGTCAGGGCCTTTGTCTGCTGCTCAGGCTAGAGCGTAGAGGTGCAGTCATGGCTGATTGCAGGCTCAACCTCTAGGTTCAAGTGATCCTCGCATCTCAGCCTCCCAAGTAGCTGAACAAGTGCATGTCACCACATCCGGCTAATTTTATTTGTGGAGATGACGTCTTGCTTTTCCAGGCTGGTCTCTTCCTAGGTTCAAGCAATCCTCCCAAAGTGCTGGGATTACAAGCATGAGCCATTGTACTTGGTCCCAAGCAGCAGATATACTCTCGAGAGTTAACTTACACAACTAAAAGTCCCTGATCTTAGCCGATATTGCCTGAGTTTTTAGGGAGGCTATTAGAGACTAATAATAGCTTAAGGGTATTAACATTTTAGTTTTCTGTCCCACATCTATTCACCCTTTTGGTACCCAAATCCTCAGTATTTCTCTCAGGCTCTGGACCATACTGTCTTTGTTCAGTATTTCTTAGGCCTATTTTCCCAAAATCTGTGCTGGTTTAAGACTCAAATCCACTTGTTCTATTTTCAAGAATTCTTTATAGCTTGACTTTTCCTAGACATCTTGTGCCATGGTTCTTTTATTTCAGGCCTTTTTGGCAGAGCCTAGCACAGCTCAGTGAATATAAAGTCAATGTGGAATACTAATTTTGGTATCAACTAAGAAAATGTGACATATTAAAAGATCTGTTGGAAGGCAAAGGAGGTAGGAGCTACAGGAAGAGGTCAGAGGGCTCCAAAGCAAATGGTCTGTTTCACAACTTTGTCTTGTTTGCCAGCTTTGAGAAAAGGGTAAGGAAATCTTCCCTGAAAACTCTATGGGATCTCAATAGTCTTTTACCACTTACTGATGTGTCTGGCCCTGTTCTAGGCACTTTTGAACTAATGAAAAACAGATTTAAAAATTTTAAACAGAAGTTCTAGGAGAGGGAGAAAGACAATGACAATGATTAATAGAGTTTTAAGCACAGCAGGTAAGGGCATCAGAGCAAGGGTGCAAATGCAAACACTGCTTTAACTGCCATCTTAAACACACTACCTTCAGTGTGAAGGTGCATTTTCTTTTTGAGATGGGAGTCTCACTTTGCTGCCCAGGCTGGAGCGCAATGGTGTGACTTTGGCTAACTGCAACCTCTACCTCCTGAGTAGCTGGGATTACAGGCATATGTCACTACACCGGGCTAATTTTGTATTTTAGTAGAGATAGGATTTCTCCATGTTTTGGTCAGGCTGGTCTCCTTCAGCTGATCTGCCCACCTCAGCCGCCCAAAGTGCTGATTACAGGCGTGAGCCACCACGCCCGACAATGAAGATGCATTTTGTCAACAAACGTTACATGCCAAGGCTTCCCTCAATTTATTTGGTAGTATCAGATACTCAGCATTATGTAACCCATCCTGCCAAATGATCTTTCTTCGTAGATTTTAATTTTAGCAAGCCTGAATGTCTTTACCAGATTGTTTTATCAGTTACTTTCCCTCATGACCACACTTAGTTGATAAACTGCTATCATTATTGTATTGGGCTCTTATTTTCTATATCTCATCCCCCCAATTTCTCAACTTAAGCATCCAGGCTTTCAAATCTATTAATTACATCAAAACTAAATATTTCATGATTTGCTCAGTAACACTTCTTTTAATGCCTGACATACTTCCCACCAGTAATTCCTACCTCTCTACTCTTACACTGATCCCAAAACCCTTACATTGTACCTTGCATAAAGCCGAAACATTTATTCAGAATTATAAGGCTGGTTAGTGGATTTTCCATCTAACGTCTGCCATGTTATTTCAGGACCTATTTAAAAATAATACAAAAACAACATAATCCAAAATTACATTTTTATTTTCATGTTTGTAAAATGAAGAGCTTCTTTCTGGATGGTTTTCTTATCAGCTTTTCATACCACAGTCAAGCAAACCTCGTGGTACTAGCCCTAGAAAAGGAAAAACATGAGATTCTTACAAGACTATCAACATTATAACAGCTTACGTAAAAGCATTTTGAAAAAAGTATTGTCCTTATAATGGTCCATCTCAGAAGCCAGATCCGTAGTTTTTTTTTCAACAGAAGTTCAGGTTCGGGATAAGATCATCACAGATAAGACCAAGGCCACAATATTCACTAATTGCTAAGCAAAAAAACAGAAAAACTCCACTTACAGAAATCGTTGCAACTTTGGAACTTCTGGGCTCTATCAATGGGCAGACAGCGACCCTCACTGTTGGCAGAAAAAACAAACCCCCAAGATTTTGAGCTGTTGTGAACAGAGCTGTTACAAAATCATGGCAACAAAATTTACTCCACCTCTGAATATTGGTCTTAAATCTCAGAAGCCGAATCCGTACATATTTTTCTTCAGGTCATCAGCTTCGGGATAGGTTTCATCATCAATTAGACCAATCATGCCTTACACATGTACGCATAATACATTAAACCGCACTTCTGTGACACTGACCATAAACCAAGGTAAATCTAAAAGCCAAGTATTATAGTACAAATAATACAGAACTTTTAAGCCATATAACTTACTTCAAAATGAAGCTGCTAGTCAGTGACATCTGACATTCATATCTTCATTAGCTACTTGTCAGCACCCAAAACACTTCAATGACAAAAAAATTAATTTAGTCTAAGTGTAGATTAAACGCTACGATCATAAAGTACTAAAAGAACACATACCTGTTAAGAGTGTTAGGTTTTAACCAAGCGATTTTCCATTAAATATTCTCCCAGATCTGTTGGAATTTTTTCACGTACCTAACAAAAATAAAATTTCAGAGGATGCAACAGTTGCTATTCCTGTAAATCCACAGGTTTACTCCTTTAGTTTGTAAATTAAGTTTAACAGCTCTTACCTTTGCATCTTCACCGAGAGGTTCCGCTGTGTCACTCAAAGACAGCGCCATTGTTTCTGCGAGGTATCGATGTATAAGCATTCTCGCAGAAATGTCACACTCCAAGGCGTTTTTCCACATGAAACCCCTACCTTTCGTTAATCCAAATTGCACACAATGCCGCCTTCAAACAGCTCAATCTCAGCACAGGGTCGAGACTACCCATTTTAAAATAACGCCGACGGAAGGTCTTCGCCATTTTAAAGGCCCCTGGCTCTTAAAACTAACCCTCTACCCCAATCCCGTAACTGTGGTTTTTCCGCCGCCGTTCAGGCTCGTGCTGGAGGCCTGCAAGCGCGCGGCGCCCGTCGCTGATCGGCTGCCTCTTCACGCCAAAACTCGGAGCCTGCGGCCGCCAGGACTCAACCTCAGTACAGGTGGCAATCCGGCCGCGCGTTTTCCCACGTGCAAGCTTTCAACCCTCAGCTCTCTAAGCTTATCTCTAAGATGGCTTCACAGTACTAAGGCACCTATCTCTGCCTGCGCCACCATCTTTTGCTCGCGTACTCGCCCACAACCACCCACATAACAAGCAAACAGCCAAACGAACCAGAAGGCCGACGTAAAAGACCGAAGCGCTTAGCCAGCAGCTCCCTATATAGCCTCCCAGAGTCAGAACGAGGCCGCCCCGCCCTCTTGCACCTATTGGACATGGAAGTAATAGGGGGCGTGGCCGCGAATTAGCGGGAGCGCGCGCGGCGGCTCCTTTCTTCCGATGCAGGTTCTGCGGTGTGGCGCGCGCCGCAGTCCGGCCGCGCGCCCGTCCTTTTCCCAGCGCTGGCCTGCAGGCGCGTTGCGAAGCGACGTTGGAGAATCTGGCGGCCACCAGACCCTACGTGGCGCGGGAGTGGCGCCAGAATTCAAACAGCCGCAGTTGGAAACGACGCTACCACCCGCCCCGAGCCAAGTCCGCACAGGACAGATTGGGTCCGAGAGTGGACACAAGTTTTGCAGCGCAGGGCGGCCTCAGCGTAGAACCGACTCGAGAAGCCGGGCTGACTAGCTGGAGCTGGGCTGGAGTGGGCCCCCAGCGGAGGCCGCGGGACGAGCGCGCGAGCCCTGGATGCTGCACTCCAGGGAGAGGTCAGTTGGCTGACAGAAACGCTCCGGTGAAAAAGCGGCAAGCGCCACGTGAGAGCCGCCCGGGCACGCGGCCCCGCCTGGCCTTAGGGCGGGCATGAAGGCGTCGTGAGGGCCCTTTCCTCCTCACGCTTCCTCCTGTCAGGCATCCGGTTACACTCTAAACCTAACCATACAAGTCTCGCTCAAACACCGAACGTGAGATTCAGTGCTCCATTTTGCAGAAGAGAAAACTGAGGCTTAAAGCAGAGAGGTAATTTGGGTAAGGTCACACAGCTGAAATGCTTTGCTAATTTTAACTATTTTTGTACTAAATTAGTTATACTGAAAAGAGAGAAATATTAATTTGAGAAATATCCCTGAATACTTTATCCAGAAGACAAACTTACAAAATTCAAAAGCAGTACTTTCATTAATAAGCATGTTTGCGTGTGTGTGTCAGTGCGCGCGCGCGCACACAACGACGTTTGAACATTTCCGTATTTGAAAATTCAGGTCGTTCTTCTGTATTTCAGAGCAGGACTTATTAACGTTGTTTATTTGTGCATTTGGTTATGGTCCGACTCTGCTAGAGTGTGGGAGGAACACATCTGATTTTGTGCTCTGCTGTTTATTTTTTCTTAGAACAGAGCCTAGCATTAGGTAGGTTGTCGGTTATGGTTAAATGAATGAGTGAATTAACTAATACATTAGGTGGCTTTTTAGAAAATTAGAATGAAGATCAAACTTCATATTAAAAGGTAGTAGTGAAAAGCCCATGTCTCTAACAGGAACCTAAATGATGAAGTATTCACTGGGCCGGGCATTATGTCAGTTTTTATATTACTTCGTAATGTTTAATATAAATTTGTGTATTGCTCACAGTAAATAGTAAAACAAAACTAATACAGTACAAAAAGATATAAGAGGCAAAGTAGGCCCGGGTGTGGTGGTTCATGCCTGTAATTCAGCACTTGGGGAGGCCGAGGTGGGAGCATTGCTTGAGCCCAAGACCCTGTCTCTACTGTATTAAAAACAATTAAAAAAAAAAAAAAAAAAGCATAGCGAAAGTATTTTTCCATATGCCTAGAAATCTCCCTAGTTGTACTCTTCAGCAATAATATTAACAGTTTTTGAGACTTTCTATGCAAATGCAAATATATGTACTTCGTTTTTCACATACAAATGAAATCTATATGCTCTTCTGCAACTTGTTTTTCCTTCTTTTAGCTATCATAAACATCTTTCCATATCAGTACACATAGATGACTTTTCCCCCTCATACAAGGTCTCACTTTGTCACCCAGGCTGGAGTGCAGTGGCTCTATCTTGGCTCACTGCAACCTCTTGGGATCAAGTGAGCCTCCTGCCTCAGCCCACCAACTATGTGGTACAATAGGCAGGCGCCACCATGCCTGGCTAATTTTTTGTATTTTTCGTAGATGTAGGATATCTGCCATGTTGAAGACCATAAACACCACCTGGTCAAAAGCCATACAAACAGTGATTCCCAGCACTGTGGGAAGTCGAAATGGGTGGATTGCTTGAGCTCAGGAGTTCGAGACCAGCTTAGGCAACGTGGCAAAACTCTGTCTCTATAAAAAATGCAAAAAAAAAAACCCTCAAAAAACAAAAAATTAGCTGAATGTGGTGGCTTAGGTGAGAGCATGCCTTGAGCCTAGGAGGCAGAGGTTACAGTGAGCTGAGATTGTACCACTGCATTCCAGCCTTGGTGACAAGAGCCAGACCCTGTCTCAAAAAAAAATGAAGTTCTAATCTATTTTATTTAACCCAAATATAATCAAAGTTTTTTATTTTGACATATGAACACTGTAGAAATTATTGAAATATTTTTCCATTTGTTTTTTGTATGCAGTAAATGAAATCAGGTGTGTATTTTTTTCTTACATCACATCTCAATTTGTTCTGTACATTGATCATGATTTTTTAACTTTTAGGTGTGCAAATACATGTGCAGGTTTGCTTTGTATAGGTAAACTTGTATCACAGGGATTTTTTGTACAGATTATTTCGTTACCTAGATATTAAGCCTAGAACCCAGTAGTTATTTTTTTCTGCTCTCCTCTGTCCTCCAACCCTCTACTCTCAAGGAAGCCTCAGTGTCTATAGTTCCTTTCTTTGTATTCATGAGTTCCCATCATTTAGTACCCATTTATAAGTGAGAACATGCAGTATTTGGTTTTCTCTTCCTGCAGTGGTTTGCTAAGGATAATGGCTCCAGCTCCATCCATGTTCCTGCAAAAGACATTATCCCATTCTTTTTATGTCCGCTTAGTATTTCATGGTGTGTATGTACCACATTTTCTTTATCCAATCTGTCTTTGATGAGTGTTTAGGTTGATTCTATATCTTTGCTATTGTGAATAGTGCTGCAGTGAACATTTACATGCATATGTGCTCTGTACTTTTCAAGTGCTCAGTTGCCTTATGTGGCTGGTCACTGCATTGGACAGCACAAGTGTAGGGTGATTCATATACAAGTTTGAGAACCACTGTTTTATGGTAAAAGTAAAAGGTACTACATATCTGATATATATTCCAGTCTTTTTTTTTTTTTTTTTTTTTTTTAATTTTGAGAGAGTCTCACTCTGTCGCCAGGCTGGAATACAGTGACACAATCTTGGCTCACTGCAATCTCTGCCTCCCGGGTTCAAGCAATACTCTTGCTTCAGCCTCCCAAGTAGCTGGGACTATAGGCATATGCCACCACACACACCCAGCTAATTTTTGTGTTTTAGTAGACACGGGGTTTCACCATGTTGGCCAGGATGGTTTCTATCTCTTGACCTTGTGATCCACCTGCCTTGGCTCCCAAAGTGCTGGGATTACAGGCATGAGCCACTGTGCCCGGCCTATTCCAGTCTTTTTTTCTTTTTTTTTAAAAAAAGAACCTTCCATGTTATTATTTTTTATTGAGAGGGTCTTGCTCTGTCACCCAGGCTGGAGTATAATAGTGTGATCACAGATCACTGCAGCCTGAAACTCCTCAGCTCAGGTGATCCTTCTGATTCAGCCTCCCGAGTAGCTGGGACTACAAGTGTGTGCCACCACATCCCGCCAATTTTTTTCTTTTGGTTGACACAGGGTCTTGCTGTTGACCAGGCTGTTCTTAAACTCCTGGCCTCAAGTAATCCTTCCACCTGGACCTCCCAAAGTGTTGAGGTTACAGATGTGGGCCACCGTGCCGGGCCCTGTATTACTTTTGACTCAAAAACTAATAATTGTAACAAAGGCAATGTAAAAATGAAATTAGTTCAGAGCCTGATAATTGGACAACAGTGCCCTCCTGTAAATGTGTACAATCACTGTAAAGTCAGTACACAACTCCTTTAAGATATTTGTTTCTTCAAGAAACAAAGATAAACTGAGGGATAAAGCCATTGGTTTTAGGTGTGAGAGCTCTCACACCTAAAACAGTCAAACAGATTACTACCAAATATTTGGTGACTTCGTAAAGATCAATACTGAAATTAAAAGTGTCTTTTATGTTTAAAGTCTTTATTATTTTTGAAAGTAAGTTCTCCTATTCTGTAACAAAATTCCTGATAA